GCCCCCGCCTGGGAACCCGCGGCCCCGGCCCCACGTGGTGCCCCGGGCTGGGGTCCCTGCCATGGGAGCAGCGTGGCATCGCGTGGTGCATCCCATTGCCCGCCCGAGCTGCAGCCCCCGGGGATGGGGACCCCCGTCCCACAGAGCCAGCTGCCTGTGCCGCCGTGGCCACGTGCTCTCCCAGTGCTCCCCTTCTCCGCACCCACCCTGGCTCCCAGCCGCGGGCCCACTGCTCTCCCTATCCTGCCTCCTCCCCAGCTCACTCCCGGCTCGCGGTGGGTGGCCTGGCCCCCAGCCTGCTTGCCCGCTCCCAGCATGGGCCGTGCCACGGCCAGGGACTGGGCTGTACGAAGTCACAGGGCGAACCTGCTGCTGCTGCCAGCGGTGCTGCTGGGTGCCAGTGCTGGAGGTCTGCCCGCTCCCCTTCCCTCCCTGTGCTCCCTGCCGGACCCCTTGTTCGTGCACGCAGTGGGTGCCACAGGGATGGGGTGCAGGCAGGGATGAGGAAAGGGTGCTGCTCTGTGCGAGTGCTCAAGGCTCTGGGGAGGGATGCTGTGGGCACCCCAGACTGTGCCACGCGTCCATGGGGGTGTCGAGGACCCCCTAGAGGGATGGCTCTGGCTGCCGTGGCCTGTGCTGGACCAGGACCAGCCCTATCGCCATGCCCATCAGCCCTGGCAGGACCGGTCCCCTCCCCGGGGCTTCGGAGGCTCCCAAGCCCTGTCCTGCCCCCCAGCTGGGAGCGCGGGATGGGGCCACGGCTGCTCCCATGGGTGCCAGCTCCATGGCCCCTCTCCTCCAGCCCCAATGGAGGCGCGATGGGTGCCCCCGTAGGGCCCTGGGGTGGGAAAGGAAGGGGCTGGAGAAGCCAAACCGGGATGTGGGGTGGGGGTCTCCCACCCTGGGCTTGAGGCACCGGGATGTGCCGGTGCCTGTGCATCCCCGTGCCACAGCCATGCGCACGCAGAGCTGTGTCCAGGAACTGATCCCCCTGGAGCAGCTTGGGGTGCCAGGGGTGTCTGGGGGCGATGGCCCGGCCAGGAGTCCCATGGGCCACCCCGCAGCGGGGCCCTGCAGTCCCCGTGGCCCGCCGGGCGGCTCCTGGGGCCAGACAGGAAGGAGACGTCACTGCCGCGGAGCGTAACTCAAACCAGATGGGGCCGCGCTGGCTTCCAGGCCCGCAGGGTGGTCACCGACAGGAACCGGTCAAAGGCTGCCGGCAGGAGGGGGCTGGGAGGGACGCGCGCGG